TGTTCCTGTGCATTTGTCTTCCAGGGAAAAAGAGCCATTCACCTCCCACGATGCTGTGGCTGCTGCTGCTGCAGGTGTCGGCGAGCTGCCTCTGGCTGGGACACAGCGAGGTGGTGACATCCTTTGAGAAGTGTCCYCAGTTYTTCTATGAGGAGACCACGCCAAATGAAGCCCTGGAGCCGAACAACCCAGCCAGAATCTGCCAGCGCTACAACAACCAGTATCACTATGCCACACTGTATGACAGAGATTCCCGCATTCCCATTTACTCTGCTTACATCTACCAGCCTGGAAATAGCCCAAGACCTAAAGYGTGGCTGATTGAGCCCCAGGTGAGTGTTTCTCTTACACCAAATCAGCCTCCAGTCTCTAATAGTAAAATTGCAGCATTTGACMCAATATTTCTATTGCCTCCCAACCTTCTACACACATATGGAAGTGTACCCACAGCATGAGATTCTTCTTATTTAACTTCAATTTAACCTGCACCACATGATACCTCTGATGCATCTGAGCCATCAGCAGGAGGGTGAGATGGGTCATATTTCAAAGATGCCCAATTTTCTGCCTTGACCTCACAGAAACATCAAATCAAATTACCTCACATTTCATTACAAAGTCAAACAACTCACTTTGCCCTCCTTACTGTGGTGGGAGGCCAAGTGATGGAGAAAAGGCGTGAAACAGAGGCTAAATCTGAGGGTGCAGCAGTGGTGAGCTCTCACCTCCACTTGGCTCTGAGCTGTTCTGCATCCCTGACAGAGCTTATCTGCTCCCAGTCAAGACTCAAATAGGCTTTGTGAATGGCGTGAGAGACATGAGGAGAAACTCAGAATGGGGTGAGATGGCACAGGGACAAAGCCTTGGCAGGCACAGGCACTGGAGATAAGAGGGTCAGGTTAGCACTGGGGGATTTCTGGAGTGACATTTCAGGCAKTGCAAAGTGAGGAGCATCAGTGTCACTCCAGTCAGAAGGGTGGGATCTCCATCCAYGGGCAGTGGCCTCTGAGCACCTTTGGCTCAGGCTTGATCCAGAAGGATCCAGCAGACACCCAGATCTGYACAAGCTACAGTGCTATCCCAAACATCCTTCAGACACACTTCAGACCTTTAGAAAAAAAGCCAAGAAAATTATGGAAGGGAAAGAGAATAAATTTGTTTCCTTGCTAAGGACACAGTAGCAGGAGGGGATTTAGGTGCAAATGAGCCACGCGAGGAAGCTTCAGAGGAAGCATAAATATGTTTCCCCAAAGATGAGAAGTAAGGTGTTGGAAATATGAAAAAAAATATAATTTCAGCTTGTTACTCCTATGAACTTGAGCAACCAGTCTGGTATTGCACCACTGCAGCCTCCACATTTCTGTGGACCACAGAACCAAACCACCTGAAAAATCTTTCATTTTGGTATCTCCTTCAGAGATTCGCTTTCAGCCAATCTACCAACACAGGCTGCWGTCTGCATCACAAAGGTCACAAGTCATATGGGAGCCATTATGACTTCCATTATGATCCTGAGCTTCTTTCTCTTTTAAGTTCTTSTCTTCATCCACAAGAGGCAGCTCTATGATTTCTCTCCRATTCATASATTTTCAKAMACTTAGATGGCAAAAAATTAGTGCTTGATACTCAGAGTYTYYKKTYC